TCTGGGAAAGAAAGAGGAAGTTGTATTCAAGGAGAAAAGAGGAAGTGGCCTTATGAGTAAGTATCCCTGATTTCATATTCTTCCACCTTGAACTACAACCATGAGGTCCTGTAATTGTTTGAAGGGCAAAGCTCTTTCAAGTACATCCTTTGGTTTGAATGAAGAAATCAAAACAAAGAATTTTTGCTATCTGTCTTCCTCCATGGCTATTGGTAAACCATTCATAAGAAATATTTTGAGTCAGTTCCTTAATGCATTTTCAATACCATAACCAAAATTACAGATCACTTCAGTTTCAGAAAAAGAAGCAGCACTTAAAGGCAGGGATAAAAGCCTTCAATGCAAATATCCATGGCATGGTGAGATCAACAATGTGTGATACACACTACTGGATTTCTCTGACTTCAGGAAAGAGAAAAGTTTATACTGATATTGATATACTGGAATGAATCTCCCTGTCTACTATGTCTGATATTAGGTTTTTGTCCTGTAAAGTCCAAGAATGAATTTTAGGAACAACAGAAATTAAGAGAAGAATATACTTATTGAGAGAAAAAATGTTGCCTGAGAGAGAGAAGGTATCCTGAGCAGGTTGCCAAACACTGTGCATTCTAGGGACCTTTATAGAGTAAAATCATGTGGTGAAGTGAGTTTAAGGTGGGGGAAACTAAGAACTCACAATGCAGATGGGCATAAGATGGCACAGAGTTATGGTAGCCAATAAGATTATAAGTCCAGGTAAAGTTGATTAAATTGGGAACAAAGGGGGAAGGGAGTCACATAGAAAGCAGGCATTCTTAGGCAGCTGTATCTCTTCCCTTAGAGGTTTGGGAGGGTGACTCCTGAGTTCCTCAGGATGATAGGAACTATTTAGAATGTCAGTCTTTAGGATAAGGATACATTTCTTTAAATGGTGACTCCTGACTTCCTCAGAGTGCTAGGGAACTATTTAGAATATCAATCCTTAGGATATGGATGAATTTGCTTATCATTTGTCTTGGGCCTTGGCCCATAGCATGAGGTGTCAGTCTTCCCCATAGTTGCAAGGTATCTGGTCTCCTGCATGGGCTCCTTGGGGGACCTATCCATGTCTTATGCCAATAGTATTTAAATAACTCACGTCCCTGTAACAGTACTGTTTGGAAAATTGAGTACAGATGTCTTGTGCTTTGGGTGAATGATCTGGGGATGACAATGTGCAATGTATATACCATTGTTGCCCCCTGATTGATATGTTTTGAAATTTAATTTTAGTTGATGTGTTCTTTTTTCCTTGAAATAAAATGGATTTAAAAGTTAAAAGTCTGAGGTAAAGCTCTTCAATACAAACACTCCTCTGTCGAGCTGAGTTCACCACTGTAGAAGAATGGCAGCTCCAGAAGTCTCTGCACTACAGTCTATCTTTTGGGATCCTCTCTTGCAGGGAGTGGTTCCTTTCTCTGTTTATTCTTGACTCAGAAGGAGGTCAATAGAGCAGGAGTCAATCAGTGATGAAGGGGCAGGCTATATGAACTGTCCAATGAGGTGGGCCATTGCTGGCTGTGACTTCTGTCTGTTCTGGTGTCTCAGCATGATTTACCTGTTCTGAGTACAACACTGGTAGCAAAATGCTTGCTGGATCTCATTTAATACTTTTGATGTCCTGTGGCCTGATTAGCAAAGAACCTGAGAGATCCTGGATCCATGGAATAGTGAGGTTGTGGATAGTAGCCCAGAAATAGGATGGATTGGGCGAAACCAGTTCCAAGTGTTTAGGAGTAGTTCCGGTGTTGGTAGCCTCAGGTATTTAGTTATCTTCAGCTCCTGAGGTCCTCCAGCTTTGGCCATGGGTCATTCACTATCCCTTTTGACTCTTGCCGTTGGCAAGGGTAATTTGGGGTCACCAGAACCCTGGCTTCACTATGATAGCAGCAGACACAAGTATCATCTTTGAAATTCACTGCTAGCCTGGTAAGTCCACCATCTTAGGCACTGGGAGGAGCTTGGGAAGACCCTGACTATGATGCTTTTGTAGCTTGTAGAGCAGTAATGAGCTAGGTCTATGCTCTCTTTCCTCAGAGCAGCTGATCTGGAATGTCCAGAGTTTATTAATGTATGTAATGCAGGGCCTCATAGCCACAATGGCTCAACTTAAACTTGGGCTTTTTTGTATTTATAGTGATCTCCTAAATTTATAGTATGTTCTCCTATTTCTATCCTCATGACAGGTAGTGACAAAGGTCCTGAGAATTCAGAGATATGTAGTAGTGTGCCTCAGTGGAGAAAGGCTTCCCAAACAATTGGTGAACTCCTGTGTATTCTTGAACATTTCAAAATAATTTCTGAACATACTTAGTTATTTAGGTGTCACCCATACTCACAGACTAGGTTTGTGAAAACAGCCATAGAGTTTTGAAGTCTGAGAAAAATGAAGCAAATATGAAAGTGTTATCAAGGAGAGGGTAAAAATTTGTGAAGGAGAAATTCCAGAAAGGGCTACCTGTTAAATTCTCATCGGAAAATGCCAAAATTTAGGCATTTGCATGGACATATACATGTGATATCCTTCTGAATGGAAAGGAATAGAGGTGTCATCTCTGAATTAAGAGCTGGTTTAGTAGCTTGGGTGTTAATAGACAGTTTAAATATGGAAATTCTCTACAATGAACATACCAAACTGGTGTAAATGAGAAGCCCCAAATAGAAATTTTGCAATGATATCAATAGTTAGGCATGAAGTGTTTTCTGTTTGGATGGATCAGAGGAGTGTGGAAAAGATGTGGAAGTGACTGACAGGATGCAGGCAGCAAATAGCAGGACATACAACAGAGAGCGTCTTCACTGAAAGTCAGGTAGTTTTAAGAGTAAGTATGAAGTAAAGTTGGGTTCTGATTGCTTCATTGAGGTGATCAACACCAGCTCTGGCAACAATCAGTATTCCACATCCCTGTCAACACATGATTTTTGTATTCCATACTTGAGATCTAATTTGATTATCTCTAATTATGCCCCAGTGTCATGAAGGTGAAATTTTCAATTTTTTTGTACCAAGGATCAAATGAATGACCTACGCTTTCCAGGCAGTCCTTCATGCCACTGAGCTCAATACCCAACTAGGAAAGTGTTTTCTGTGTAGTATGGAAGAGATCTACATTGTTTCTCAGAAAGTGTTGTATATTGTTGGAATTTTTCTGTATTGTATGGCTATAATTTTTTAAAAACAAACCAAAGGTGTCTTATGCAGTCTCTTTTTAAGTTTCACTTTGTCTGTTCGGTGTCTCAATCAGGGTTTGTCTATTTTAGATAGCTCTGTAACTTAGGATAGCCCCAAATTCAAGGAAGAAATCCTTCACCAGCATCCCAAGATAGATTTCTTATATTTGAATTGAAAGTGATCACTTGGTGACAGTGTGGTATAATTTACAGCTTGGGCCTGGTTTCATTTTATATACATATTTTTAAAATACAGCTGTTTTTCCCTAACACTTGAGTTATTATTTATATACCATATTTGATGTTATTTATGTTTTGTTCTATGAATCCAAATTAATGTTTCAAAATGCTGCTTAAGTATATTAAGAACAAAGTACTCATTGGCCTAAATGAGATTTGAAGAGACATCATCTGTAGTCTATCAAAGTGATTGATTAGATTTTTAATTTAATTTTGCAATTGGTAAAATACAACAGAACAAGGCAGCATAAGGTCAACTAAGGTCATACAGTGAAGTTGGTACACAACTTCACAACGGGTTACTGGGATAACAGTAATAGGTATCACAGTATATTTTGTTATCTTTGTAATAGTTGTTCCTTAATCACATATATCAAAATGAGATGAAATACAGAACATTATAGAACTTATCAAAACAAAATATTGAATAGAGCAATACTATTAATCAGAATAGAGTGAAACAATAATAAAACCATTTTCCTTCAAAGAGATAGTAGAAGGAAGTCCCCCTTATTTGCTATGGTTTATTTCCCAGGAGGCACTTAGATTTCTGGTTCCAATTTGCTAATGGGGGGTGACAGAAGAAGAGGGGTAGGGAAGTGGGATGTTTGATTCTAGGTGGTGCATCAGTAGGTTCACTATTGCTTAGTAGGGAGACAGGCTGGTTGTTTCGTTTCACAGCATCCTAAGTTCCAACATAGCATGGATCTCAGGAGCTGCTGTTGGTTCTCCCCCTGGAAGGGCTGCAGTCTGACAGACTGCCACTGCTTACCAGGGAGAAGTGGTGCTTGACTGGCTTCCCAGTGTCCTAAATTCCAGCATGGGATGGATCTCAGGAGCTTCTGCTTGTTTTCCCCTTGGAAGGGCTTCAATTTGCCAAACCACCACCGCTGACCTGGGAGGGAAGGTGCTTGCTTGGCTTTCCAGTCAATTGGTGGGATATTTATCTGCCTCTGTGCTTTGTGGTTGCTGGTCCTGTAGGCTTGTTACTGTGAGCTCTGCTTTAGAGACAGTGCACGAGGAATCTTGCCATGATTCAGCACAAGAATCAGTGTTCCTATTTGGCTGTTACATTTGCAGAGAGTTGCAATCTAGCATCAAATTTGCTGTCTTCAAAAATGTGTATATACACAAAATTACTGACCAAGACATGGATTAAAATTTGAAGAAATCAGTCTTCATTCAGCTGTTTTGTTTGGTTTTAGTTGTTTAGTTTAGTTTTGTTTTATTGAGACAAGCTTTCTGTATGTATATCAGATGGATTTGAACACCCTATGGAGCCTAGAATTGCCCTGACCTCATTGATGCCATCCTGTCTCAGCCTTTTGAGTGCTGGGATTATAGATATGCACCACCACACTTTGCTTTTGATTCAGATTTCTAGGAGAGAATTTAAGATATCCCAAACCTGGGGTCTCAACCTTCCATTGAGAAATATATTTATGATCCTTTAGGAGGTGGTGACCTTTGAGGATGTGGCTGTGAACTTCAGCAATGAGGAGTGGACTTTGCTGAGTCCATCCCAAAAGAAGCTCTACAGAGATGTGATGGGTGAAACCTTTAGGAACATGACTATGATAGGTAAGGATGCAATCTTTTTGTCACTCATGCTGTCAGAATATTGTTTGTTGCTCATTAGTGCTGTTTCATGAAAAAGAATATGAAAACATTTTAAAAAATATCTCACACCTGGACAGATTATATCATAAATCTAAACAAAACCTATTAATTTGTATGTATTACTTTAAGAGTCCTGGTATTTCTATGTCTACAATACAGGTGGACTCGAGGATATCCAGGAAGCTGAAAAAGAAGGCAAAATTTACTGGAGTTACTTAAGGTAATTCATACACACAAGTATAGGAATGAGTAATTAGTGAATCAGCAGAAAAATGACCGCCAAAGAAATGAGGCACCATTCAATTTAGTGTCAGTAATATTCTCCGAAGATGTATAAGCTGGTGTATATATGAGGGAATTAAATCATGAAAATGTATGACATTGCATATAGATGAGTATGAAAAGAATACATTTTGAGTTATTACATTCTGCCTTCAGTTTTTCTACCCATGACTACATGTGAATATAACACATTCATTATCTAACAATTGCTAAGTTTGCAATAGAATTTGAAATAAAACTGAGTGTTCATGTTTCCCAGCCATTCTCTAGAGAATCAGCCATTCTGATTAATATTCTTAGTAGGCTGGTGGAATGTTAGTGCACTCATTTTGAATATCAATATGCAGTTGTCTCTAGAAATTGATCCCCTCGTACTTGTCCTGGATATTTTTAAAATCTCAAATCTGCATAAAATACTGATACATACTTACTCATATACAAAGCAGATCAAGTTATAACAGATCAGGCCTTGAGGCTAAGCTATCTATCACTGGATTTGTGGAGAAGGAAAATGTTAATAGACTCTCTGTGATTATGCATTTCTGTAAACCCAACACACTAGGAATCGGATTTTGCAGAATGGCAAATTCAAGTTCAAACTTCACAGCTTAATGATCAGTGAGAATCTCTTAAAATAGATTTTTAAAAAGCTACAGATTTTATGCTAATACGTGTTGTTAATTCCCAGCCCAGAAAAGAAAAAAATGTGTTATATAATGTCAAAAAATAAATAATATAATGTCATTTGCCATAAGAAATAGATGGGTCTTTCACCCATCAATTCAGTGAAATAGCTCAGCTATAAAACCTAAAAGGTCACAGGGTTTCTTTTAGATGAGACACCAAAATATAAATTGTGGAATGAAATGAAAGACAGTTTATAGATAAAAGTAAGACTGAACATATGGAAAAGGGAACTACAGGTTAAGGACAGAAGGGAGATTGGAATGGGGAAACATATCAGAATAATCCATATGTGATACACATATGTGCCCATGCCCAAAGTGAAGCTAAAGATTCTGCATTTCAAAGTACCAACTTTTAAGATTTCTAAATGTGTGCCAGTCTTTTGGGAATGGTTGTTTTCAACATATCTTACAAGGCCATTCTGTTGCTTCATAGTCAGACTTTCTTAGCAGGCATTAAAAACAGAACTTGACATTAATGCAGTCATTAAACAGAGACCCATTTCACTGTGAATTTTTCTTTTTTAAATTTATATAAGGAAAGTTTAAACAAAACAAAATAAGTAGAAATAATGCTACTTTCAAAGTGAAAATAAACAGTGAGAAATCGCAAGATGATGATTACATATGCTGCTCATGGAAATAGTTATGAAATACAAAAGTGAAACATATGAAGTGGGGATTCAAACAGCGAGATTGCAAAAACTTAGTAATATGGTTATAAATCTTATATGTGATTTGTTTCTTTACAGAAAGCTAGGGAAATCCTATGGACATACATCTTGGAATCAGTGTAAAGAAGCCTTCCTTGGTACTGAAGAAGGTAATGTGAATGTGAAAGAAACAGAAACACATGACAATGTTCAGATTCATGAAAAATATTGCAGTGGAGGGAAACCCTATGTATGCAAGCAATGCAGGAAAGGTTTTACCACACATGGAATTTGTAAGAAACATGAAAGAATTCACAGAGGAAAGAGACCCTACATATGTGATCAGTGTGGGAAAGCTTTTACAGCACATACATATTGTCAAGTACATGAAAGACTTCACTCTGGAGAAAAACATTATGAATGTAAGCACTGTGAGAAAGCTTTCAGCACATGTACTTATTGTGTAATCCATGAAAAAATTCACACTGGGCAGAAATCGCATATATGTAAGAAATGTGGGAAAGCTTTTAGCAGGAAAATTCATTTTCAAATACATGAAAATGTTCACACTGGAGAGAAACCCTATGTGTGTAAGCAATGTGGAAAAGGTTTCACCCAAGTAGGACATTGTAAGGAACATGAAAGAATTCACACTGGAGAGAAACCTTATGTATGTAAGCAATGTGGGAAAGCTTTTACCCGACACGGATATTGTAAGAAACATGAAAGATTTCACACTGGAGAGAAACCCTATGTATGTAAGCAATGTGGGAAAGATTTTAAAACACAAGGAGTTTGTAAGATACATGAAAGAATTCACACTGGAGAGAAACCATATGTATGTAAGCAATGTGGGAAAGCTTTTAAAACACAGGGAGATTGTAAGATACATGAAAGAATTCACACTGGAGAGAAACCATATGTATGTAAGCAATGTGGGAAAGCTTTTAAAACACAGGGAGATTGTAAGAAACATGAAAGAATTCACACTGGAGAGAAACCATATGTATGTAAGCAATGTGGGAAAGCTTTTAACAGACAGGAAGGTTGTAAGAGACATGAAAGAATTCACACTGGAGAGAAACCATATGTATGTAAGCAATGTGGGAAAGCTTTTACCACTAATGCAAAGTGTAACGAACACGAAAGAATTCACACAGGAGAGAAACCATATGTGTGTAAGCAATGTGGGAAAGCTTTTAAAACACGTGCATATTTTAAGGTTCATGAAAGAATTCACACTGGAAAGAAACCATATGTATGTAAGCAATGTGGGAAAGCTTTTAAAACACAGGGATATTGTAAGAAACATGAAAGAATTCACACTGGAGAGAAACCCTATGTATGTAAGCAATGTGGGAAAGCTTTTAACAGACAGGAAGGTTGTAAGAGACATGAAAGAATTCACACTGGAGAGAAACCATATGTATGTAAGCAATGTGGGAAAGCTTTTACCACTCATGCAAATTGTAACGAACACGAAAGAATTCACACAGGAGAGAAACCATATGTGTGTAAGCAATGTGGGAAAGCTTTTAAAACACGTGCATATTTTAAGGTTCATGAAAGAATTCACACTGGAGAGAAACCCTATGTATGTAAGCAATGTGGGAAAGCTTTTAGCACATGGGGAGATTGTAAGAAACATGAAAGAATTCACACTGGAGAGAAACCCTATGTATGTAAGCAATGTGGGAAAGCTTTTAGCACATCGGGAGATTGTAAGAAACATGAAAGAATTCACACTGGAGACAAACTCTTATGTATGTAAATAATGTGGGAAAGCTTTTAAAATGTAGTGAGATTGTAAGAAACATGAAAGAATTCACAATGGAGAGAAACCCTATGTATGTAAGCAATATGGGAAAGGTTTTACCAACTCTGGACATTGTAAGCAACATGAAAGAATTCACACTGGAGAGAAACCATATGTATGTAAGCAATGTGGGAAAGTTTTTACCCAACATGGACATTGTAAGCAACATGAAAGTTCACACTCAAGATAAAACCAGTGTATATAAGAATCATGAGAATGGTTTGAGCACACGTATATATTGCATAATGTAAGAAAATCTTCACACTGGGCAGAAAACTTATATATGTAAGGAATGTGGGGTAGGTTTCAGCAGAAATGCTCATCGTGCAATACATTATAAAATTTAGACTGTTGAGAAACCATGTGTACATGAAGAATGTGGGAAAGCTTTCACCAAACATGGATATTGTAAAATACATCCATGACTTCACATTGGTGAGAAACCCTATTTATATAACAATGTGGCAAAGCTTTTACCACATACAGTCACTGTAAAACACATGAAAGAATTCACACTGGGAAAAACCACTGGCTATGTAAGCAAGTGGAGACACTTTCAGCAGCCAGATTATAAGTGAAATACATGAAAAAACTCACCCAAGAGATAAATCTTATGTGTTATGAGAATACTCTCAGCATACTTGATCATTGTTACATATCTGAAAGAGCTCACTGGGCAGAGATCCTATGTGGATTAACCATGTGAGAAATACAGCAATCCATGTTTCTTGTTAAATACATAGAAAAAGTGTCACTGTTCAGACAGTTTAGATCTAAATTTACTTTAAAAATCACAGGGAGACCTGAAGAAATAATCAATACAGAAATTATATGTCAATATATCTTCACAAATATTCCAGAAATGACAAACCTGAGGTGGAGCTCTCCTTAGGTGCACATGTTGTATGGTTCTCAGTTAATCACTTGTACCTCTCTAGATTTTTTAAAGTGTCTTTGTGTTTCAACATGGAATCTTTAATTAAACATGCTAAACTGAAATGGGCTTTTCACTTTCAAGTATGGATAGTGTCTATGTACTTAATATTTTTCTGTAAAACTTAAATTTTATATTTTTTGGTGAATTGTAATGTTGTTTATTTAAAGAGAAAAAAGAAAACGTGTAGAAATAATACAGAATTTCAGAAAAATAAACCATAAGAAATCACTAGTTGATTAGTTAAATATTGTCATCTTAGAAATAGTTGTTCAAGTAACAAAATTAAAGCATACAAAGTGATATTCAAATAATGACACTGTCAACAGTTCACCTCAATGATCCAACAAAAAGTTACTAGTATGCTTATCTGTCCTGCATACTTTTTTTTTCTTAAAGAGGGTAAGATTAAACATGACAAAACCGAACAGAACAGTTCATAAGGAAACAAGTTAAGCAAACAGATTTCAAAGCAAGCCCACTGTAGATGTTCACTGTCTATGTTACTGTCTCTAGTTTTCTTCCAAATAGTTGTTCTCATCTTCACACACATTGAATATATACCAAACATTATAGAACTAATCAAATAGTTACAGGGTGATGCAGGCTTTTTCGGTCTTCAAGACTGATTTTGGGGAAATCGGTAATGACTACCATAATGTCTCTTATTCTCTTCATAGTAGCTGTCATTATCTTTATGTATGCTGAAATTTAACATAAGAGACTAGACTAATATCACTGAACAGTGAATAATAGTATCCTGAGAAGGAGAAAGGTGAGGAATTTTCTAAAAAAAGAAGGCAGAGGACATTGATAAAAGTGTATCAGGATTTAAAATATACAGTAGTCTTGTTGCTCTATTTTGTTTGGTTATATCTTGTTCTGGTCTGTCTACACACATTAGATTTGAGGGCACAGAGAGATAACCCAAAAATAGCAGGTTATACCATGGTAACTATCCTTAATTTTCTATTAACTAAAACTGAAACCCTATATTACTTACATTGTCTTCTATGACTGATCTTTGAAGCTGGTTTGTTTGAATGTTATTTGGCCTTGACTGATTTTATTCACCTTTGGTATGCTTGCTAGTATCAAGTTCAAGAGAAGAGGCAACTACTGTAAAGATGACAAGATGTAAAAGATATCCATTGGTGGGCTGTGGGATTTAGCTCAGTGGCTTAAGCACCTGCCTGGCAAGTGTGAGGTCATGAGTTTGGTCTCCAGTGCCAAATAAATAAATAAATAAATAAATAAATAAAAGATATCCATTCCAGGTTTGATTATTTTTAATTAAAGAGAACAAAGATAGGAAATAAAAAACAAAGCAGTAAAAGGGTACAAGTAATACAGAATTTCCAGAAAAAATTCAATAAGAAATCACTAATTAATAGGTTACATCTTGTCATCTTAGAAGCAGTTGTCAAATTATAAAATTAAAGAGGGTAAGAACATGACAAAACAAGCAAGTCCACTGTAGATGTTCACTGTCTATGTTACTGTCTCTAGTTTTCTTCCAAATAGTTCCCATCTTCACACACATTGAATATATAAAGTGGACATTCATACAGTGAGATTGCAGAAAGTTCTGTTCAATGATCCAACAAAAGCTCAGTAATACGGTTTTCCATCCTACACACTCAAGCATGCAGTTATATCCCTTAGACCACCTTCCTTTCCTGTTTTTTACAATAACAATTACACTTTTTGAGTTTTTTTACTCCCACAGTTCTTATTACGTTTTTTTGAAGAGAATAAATCCTAACATGACTAAATAAAACAGAGTCAGTTAGAACAGAAGGGTGGGCATAGGACATGATGCAAAAATAGATTATCAGATGATCAAAAATGGTTACCATTGTTCCTCTTGCTATTTTTAAAAAGAGTTGCCTATAATAGAATGGATCAAAACAGTACAGAACAAGACCTCTTTTTCAGAGTCTCTTTTTCCAGCAAGGAGCACTTGAATCTTCCTGTGCTCAGGCCAAGCAGGGAGTGTGCAGCATGCAGAGGAGCCAGCACCTCCTGCCTTACACCCTTTTCCACCACCGCATCCATGCTGCAGCCCTGCAGGCCCAATAAGGCAGAGCCATGAGGATGCAGAAAATACTCTGCCACCTCAGCCCCAGGGGCCTCAACCCATGGGTCCTGGCCTCAGCCTCCAACAGGGTCCAGGCTCTGCCATGGATTGGACATTCATAGTGGGCCAGACACACCATCAGTGCCTTGGGGCAAAGTCCATTTTCCACAGTGACCCTTCCATTTCTGCAAATTTTGATCCTTTTCTTTCTAAATGAGGCAGAGGCATTGGAGACAAAACACCACACATTGGCATTACTTTCTTTCTTTTCTTTCTTTCTTCTTCTTCTTCTTCTCCTCCTCCTCCTCCTCTTCCTTCTTCTTCCTCTTCATCTTTGTCTTCTTGGTTTCTTTGATGCTTCAAATACATATTTAGAGGTGTATTTTGCCAAAAAACATTTCTTGTCTTTTTACACCCTAGTTAACTGAAGTTTTTACAGACTTCTACTGCAATTCACACCCTATGTGTTTGAACAGTCAGAATCCATTCTGCAGCTTAGTAGAATGAGTGAAGCAAAGCAGAAAGTGAACTTGGGGATGTTACTGCGCCTTCCAACACTCAGACTCATATCTTTTTACCTCAAAAATATGGGCTTCTGGAGCAGCTGAGTCTGGCACAGACAAAATGAGTTTCCTGCATTTATATCAGATAATTTCATTTCCTCTCAAGCTGGCACAGAAAGAAACACCTCAAAATTGTCAACCAACAGCAGCAGCAAGCAGGAACCAAGTTGCTGAGCTTTCACAATTGGGTGATGGAATCGTGTGGTGGATTGTGCCCTGGGTTTACTGAGGCAACTCAGTACATCTAGGTTGCTGCTTCCATCCCCTTTCCTTCAGTGCAATACAAACAGAAAGTCATGCACATGCATCATTTATTTGCAATTTTTCTATTCCAGGAACAAAACCTGTATTCATGAGAGTCCACATCTCTGCCATAGCAGACCCACCCACGGGCATTACCACAATGTCTTGTAAAGGATCACTTTATTTATACAAAACGCAGAGCAATGCTCCCAGCCTTGATTTTTCCAGACTGGTGCATTTTCAGTCATTTCTTGAAGGGAAGCTAAACGATTTAGTTTGAGTAAACCAAGTGTGTTGCTGTGCTTCTGTGTGACATCCTTGCTGCCAGACCTGATGAAGGCAATGAGTGGGATCCGCTGGAGGTTTAGCTCCAGAGGGACATACTTAGCACAGCTGTGTCAGGCAGTGCTGCCCCTCACCTGACTGGCCACCCAGGTTTTCAAATGCCCTTTCCCAGTGCTGTTACTGGCTTCGGGAGTCACTGGATTGCAGTGGAGATGCCCAGTGCGCTGGTTGGCCCAGGGAAAACCTTGTTTTGGCATGAGTTGGTCATCGTTAGCCCTGCAGATCTGTTGCCCTGGGGCCAGGGCAAGGTTCCCCCAGCTGCAGTGAACAGCATCATCCAGACAACTCTCCTGTGCACACTCTACGCAGAGGCTAGGGAGGGTCCCAGTTCCTTCCTGCTTCAAAGAGTACTGTGAATCAAACTCTTGAAAATTTGTGCAGCATTCTGTGGAGAAAACTCTATTCTTAGTCCCAGGGAAGGCTGTTTAGAGCTCTGATGGGAGATGCAAGATAGGGCTGTGCTCTGCCCCCCATGTCCTTCCCATTGTTGTTCAGCACCTGCCTTAAAATATGTCACTGGATGGGGAAACAGCACATTTCGAAGATGTGTGCCTGCATGAATCAGGCTTAGGAGTCTCAGTGTTTTGTGTGCTTGTTGGCCATGTCTGGTAATTTACTTTGAGTTAGAAAAATTTGTCATTTCCCTCACAAAATGGACTCATGAGACCTCTTTAATACTTGTAATAAAAACCATCTATCTGACTAAGGTTGTAAAGAAAGGTTTCCTGTTGTGACTTTTGCATTATTGTTGTTTTTCAAATCCAATGAATCAGCCCTTTGTAGCTCCCTTTGTATCACTGAAATCATGGATAACATTTTCCAACATGAAAAGATGAGTACATACACAATGGTCTCTACATTTTCCCTGCAGATTTTGTCTATCTGTGGTTTTCTCTTCTATCAAACAGCAATAGCATCCAGCCTCCTCCAGGATTGTTTGGCCAAACAGAATCTGATGCACTGATATGGAAAACCCAGGGTAGTAAATCACAGTGAGAGAAAGGTCAGCGGTGGGTGGGGACTAGCAGGAGAGACCAGGGGTATGGCTGGGTCTAACAGTGAGCAGAAACCTGGAACTAGACAGATGTGAAGATTGTACCAGTTGACAATGTGCTTACATGTGACTCAATTGAACATGTGGAAACTAATGAAATCTTAACTTAAAATTAAATTATCTTAGAATTTAATGTTTCAAAGAACTATAGATTTAAGAGTAGAAATGAAAACTGAGAGAAATAGAAGAGGTAAAGGGAAGGGAAAGTGAAGGGCGGGTGCTTTGCAGGACTTGAGCCCTAAGTGGAGCTCAGGACACCTGCCATGGAGCCAGTGACAGACCTGCCTTGGAATTCCACCAGACCGGGTTTCTGACCTTGATTTTCAGGTTGATCCCAGAGCTGGTGAGGTCTTTGCAGGTGAGGCTGGCACAAGATCTGTAAGTAGACCTTGAGCTCCGTCCAGTACCAGCCCTGCCTTAGAAGAATCCCCAACTGTCCTTGTTCCTTGCAAGCCCCAAAGCCTCCCAGGGCCTGTCAGGGACAGCTTTGTGTACAAATGCACCCCAGGAAAGCTTCCTATTTTGCCTCACCCCACTCACTTCTGCATGCCTCTGTGTTGCCGGAGGTCCCAAGTCTGTCTTTCTCCCTGTAAAGT